CTTGTTTTTTGAGAAGGAGGGTTGTCTACAATTTGCTTTTTCTTTTACCAAAAACATCATTCAACTTTTTTACGTAAGCACTCTTTAAACCACTAACATTTAACCCACAAACAAAAATGTTCAGATAAAGAAACCAGCAATAAAAATGGGCATGAGTATGTACATCATATTGTTTTCTCTTTCCACATAATTAAGAGAAAGTATGATGGAAAGAATGATGACTCTCCTAATGTCAGGCTGATGCTCTTGATTAATAATATCTTGATTAATAGCCATTCCGTGGAGCCAGTTCAAAAGGAAAGAGAGAAAAGCCATGCAGAGGTTTTAAGCTTCAGATTACAGTAAGGTATAGAGTCAAAAAGGAATTTAGCAGATGATAGCAAATATCACATCAATATTACTAAACCAAGTTTAAAGGACGCGATTCCACAGGTCTAAGAAATGCAATTCACGAGGCTGGGGAAAGATGTAATCTCCCCGACCCCACCCTACTCAGACACAACCCACCAGCGCAGCAATCGGGAGAAGGCTCTTGCCGAGATGTCCAGCACAGCCTGCGGAAACTCACCTCCTGAACTCAGGGCGTCGGGATTGTTGGTCTTCGGCATGGCCTGGCTCCCTGCCGCCCTCGCTTCGCATCACCCGGCCCGCGGGCTGCAGGCGACGCGGACAGCAGCCGGCCCCAGTCGCGCGCCGAGCCTCACCTGCCGTCGCACCTGCTCCGGGTCGGCGTCATCCGCCCACCGGGCGCACTCGCACACGCGCGCGCCGCCGCCGCCTCACAGGAGGGGCCGCCCCGCCGAGGGAAGCCCCCGCCTGCCCTCCCCAGGACAGAGCGCCGGAGCAGCGACTCTGGCTCAAACGCGGCCCCCGGCACCCGGCGGAGGCGACCGCGGCGCGCTTACCTCCAGCAGCGAACGCGAGCCCGGCCGCCGCTCCGGCGCCCCGCCTGCGCCCAGCAGCAGGGTCCGCGGGGTTCAGCAGCTGTGAGGCGACGACGCCACAGCTCGGGAACCCCGCCCGGCCCCCGCAGCAGCTTCCGCGGGAGCTGGGGAAGCGCGCGCCCGTGATTCAGCGCCTTTTCGTCGCGCGGTTACCACGGCGACGCGCGCGCACGCGCCCCCAGGGAGGGGCGGGTCGCGGTCCCTGCCCAGCTCGCTGCTCCCAGGCGCGCGGCACCTAGCAGAAAGCTTTTGGGTGGGAGGGCGGCCTGTATGCCCACCCCTTCTCCTTCACCAACCACTTCCCTGTCACCATGATCCTAGACGGCCTGGGGGATAAGCCCCCTTTCATAGGCCGGGGCCAGAGAGGTTCGAGGAAGCCAAGAGCGCACCACCTGGGTTAAAGACCCTTCGCGAATGTGTCCCCCGAAGCGAAGGTACCCCACATGCACAGGTCCCCCTCCTCCCGCGGGAGCCTCTTTGGGCCTTACTATGTCTTGAGCACGTGCTACTTTATGATTTAAGTTTGCGGGTGCTGGATGGGGCCCCGTCAACTCCAGGCATTTTAAGTTAACTAGGTGCCCAACGTATTTAGACTACATTTGCGTCTATGGGAAGGTGATGATCTGAACCACAGAAAAGTCACGAGGAAGTCTCTTTCTTGCATTTATTCTGTTTTCTTACCATAAAGATGCTCAAGCATCTAGGTATGGTAACATAGGGCAGAAAAGAAGCCAGGGCATTCCTCGAGCATTCCTAGCACATTCCCATGACTGGGAAACATACAGGACTGAGGCACACGGACCCGATGAGCAAGCCCCTACTAGGCTTCTCGATGGCTGCGGATAGGCCTTGGACGACTTACATAATCTTGCTAAACCTGTTTCCTCAATTATAAAATGGAGATAATAGCACTCATATAGGATGATTGTGGGAATTAAATGATGAACACTGAAAGAAAAACCTGTCCAGGACTGAAAGAATGGAAATCAGATTGGACCAAAAAGAAAAAAACAACCCTGCCATTGATCAGGCTGGGAAGACACAGATGAAGCCAGAAGCAAGTTAAGAGGAAATACTGTTTCTCTCAAAGTCATGCAATCAGGATGACTTCCCCAGATGTCAGAAGAACCTTAAGAAACTCACCTCTTAAACGCACACCATAAATGACTTAACTATCCTCTCTGTAGGTGACTATTGCTTTCTTACCCCAGATGCCCCCTTTGCTTTGCTATTCCCACCCAGACTGGTGATGCCCCGTTGCTACACTCTCCTCTGCTCACGAAAGAACCCAATCTCGTTAACTCCTTTCTTTTCCAATCTGCCTCTGAAACAATAACCAACAGGGGCCAATTTCTGATCCCAAGACCTTCACAGAATCCTTCAATGGGAACCCACACCTTACAAAAGGTACTTCCCTTTCTCCTCTCACCTGGCATTCCACAGTGCCCTGAATGCCCTCTCACTGCACCAACAAATCTTAGACAACAGGCTTGTTCCCAAAGATCTTTAATACACGTGGGCTTAGCCCAGAATGTTCAACTTTTAACATCTTTTTAAATCAGTGCCATTACAATGAATACCTATTTTGATACACATATAAATTTAGAATCTATTTTGGTACTGCATGAAAATGTTAGTCTGCCTCCCTAGGACACTAATGCTAGGACCCTATCCACTTCTCATCCAAAATTAATGGGCATTTATTGAGCTCTTGCTACATGTCAGAGACTATAATAAATATTAAGGGTAAAAGTATGTATCCTTAATACAGCTTTTCTGACTTTGCTCTTGTTTCTATGCTGTTGGTTGGGATATTTGCCTTACCAAACTGTACAAGAAAGACTGGAATTACTCTATTTTGAAGGTGGGAGAAACTGAGGTCTAGCAAGCTTCAAGTATATTCCACACCAGGGGCAAAGAGGTGTTTAGCCTATTGAAACAAATACAAGATTCTGAGTCGGCATTTCCCCAAGGGAAGTAAGGTACTCAGAGCTACTATACTGGAAAAATTTGAGAGCCAAAGTAAAAAAATTCAAGATATTGAAAATTAGTAGCTTCTTAATTCTTGCATTTGTTGGGAATGGTTTAGGGGTGCCTGTCGATTGAGTGTCCCACTCTTGATCTCAGCTCAGGTGTTGACCTTAGGGTTGGGAGTTCAAGCCCCTCATGGAACTCCATGCTGGGTGTGGAGCCTACTTTAAAAAAACTTGTGGGGCAATTCGCTGGCTCAGTCAGAGGAGTGTCCAACTCTTGATCTCGGGATTGTGAGTTCAAGCCCCACATTGGGTATCGAGATTATTTAAAAATAAATAAGTAAACTTTTTAAAAAAATGATTTAATTGTTCCTATTCACATCAGTCAAAAATGATTTCTTAGAAATTTGTCCTTATAAACAGTAAATGGGAAAGTATTTCACTTGAATGCTGAGTCATAGAAATGATGCTCCTGGGGCGCCTGGGTGGCTCAGTCGGTTAAGCATCTGCCTTCAGCTCAGGTCATGATCCCAGGGTCCTGGGATTGAGCCCCATGTCGGGCTCCCTGCTCAGCAGAGGGCCTGCTTCTCTCTCTCCTCCCCACTTGTGCTCTCTCTCGCTATCTGTCACTATCTCTCTCAAATAAATAAAATCTTAAAAAAAAAAATGCTTTCAAGGTTTTCAATTTGATAATTATTCAATCTAATACACAGTACTACATATTCTATTTTTTATAATTAGCCTTTCACTCATCTAATTTTTTTTATAATGTGATGTAAGGTATGGTTCTTTCAACAATTATTCTTCCAAGTGAATAAGCAATTTATGCCAAAAACATCCTTTTCCTATATAAATGAACTATTGCCTCCATAATGTATGCTATTAGCATTCTCATTTGAAATGATTAAGTATAAACAAATCTCCTTTCCATTGTCACTACAAAGGGAATATTATATATAAATTCAGCTTGTCTTTTTTTAGGTGTTTTAGCTGTTAATTTTGACACCCCTGATGAAAATGAGGCTCTGTAACTTCTCATTCTAATTATTCCCCCTGGCTTTCCTTTTTTACAGTGAGGTTGTCAGTGTATGCTTGGTAGTTCTTGGTGGGTTGAGAAGCTTCATAGACGAGGTTCTCTTCCTCACAAAGATGAGTAGCAGCAGTGGGCCAGAAACAGGAAGCAGGTAAAAACTTCAATCCCATCATGGGCACAAAAGCATACTAAAACAAACTATAAACAAGTAAAATTCTTTATTTAAAGTACATTTCTTTTACAGGGAGGAAGGTTTCTTTAAAGCACGTTTAAAAAGTGCTCCTTATCCCTCTCCTGTAAAATAATTCAATTTTATAGGAAGTAAAACTAAAAGGCTAGTCCTCTTTAAACATTTATTTTTCTCTTAGGAAAAAAGCCCAATGCAGCTAGAACACCAACCTTAATCATTATCAAGACTAATTTTGCCTCTGTTGGCAACATGAACAGCGACATGTTGACAAACATGAATTTTAAAAAGTAAAGGAATTTCAAATCAAAAGATTTCATTTATAGCTTACCAATCATGTACTGTTAGCTGACAAAAATAAAGTCTGCTATAGGATAGTTGCCATCTACTTAAATGTACATAATCATGGCTTTTTTCATTTAAGATTACCTGAATTAAAAGATCCAATTCCCCCAAATACAATAACCTCTTATTTTTATTTTTAAAGATTTACTTAAAGTATAAACTATTTGGTGCCTGATTTTAAAAATAAAATATAAAGGCTAGCCCAGGGACAACGTAGCCCTGCTTGAGAACCAGCCAGCAGCTCTGAGCAGTATTCGGAGCTCTGACGGTCTTGGTGGCCTTTATGAAGAAGTTTCATATTCTTTATGCTTTAGTTTAAATAAACACCAATATTTAGTTCTGAAATTTGAGTACACAATCCACAAAATAAAAATCACAGTAGTGTTTTCCCCTTTTACAATGATGTAGTATATCAATTCCTCCATATAACCTACCTTTCCAGACAGGTGGAAATTACATTTGCAAAAATCCAGGACAAAATTACTCAGAAGATAGAAAACTCTTATTTGGAAAGCCCTTCACAAGATTACATCAAGGTTGCACAGAAGACCCCAGTGATCACTAGGAAATCTACCACAGTCCAGTTTTTCCAACCCGAGGAGGTCCAAACTTTGGGGAACAATATGGCCACTTTCTGCTGCTGTCCTGAAAAATATTCGATCAAAACGAAGCTTACAAGCAGCAGATATTCCAAGATTAGAGTTCATCTGTGTATCCCACGTATACTGGCAATGCTTAGGTTTGCCCAAGAACTCCCAGACATCCAAAATGTTGCTGGGTAAACCACCACATTGGGTGACCTGAAATGAAAAAGAAAACTCTTTAAGATTCAGTCCTTTTTCTCCTAAACTAAAAAAGGTTTCACTATTATGTCTTAAGTGCATCATTTCAAATCAGAATGTCACAAATTACTGCCCCAATGCAAGACTATGTATTAATATTAAATATATTATAAAAGGTATTTTGCTGTATGGTAATAAGTAGTTAACATAAAAATTCCTAAACAGCCAGAGAGGTCTGGAATTTGCCCTTCTCTTCTGCCATAAACAGATTCCTAACTCTGGGTAGCCGATAAAACTTAAAAGGCTGGAAACTCACAGCCTCTGTTATTGCTATTAGTTTTTGAAAAATGAACACAAGTGAAAAGTAGGCAAAACTGTTACTCTATTTTAGTCTATAAATGTAGATGTATACAATTTATGTGATCGACTAAGGTCAACTGCCTTCAGTTTCATTTGAAATTTAGTATCAAATCCTCCTCCCTCTTCACACTCCAGGATTTAAAAAACATTTTACTGTGGTAAAATACAGGCATACCTCTTTTTATTGCACTCCACAGATATTGTGTTTTCTCCAAGTTGAAGGTTTGTGACACCGCTGCATTGAGCAAGTCTACTGGTGCAATTGTTCCAAGAGCATTTGCTCACTTCGTGTCTCTGTGTCACATTTCGGTAATCCTTACATTTCAAACTTTCTTATTATTTCTGTATTGGTTACAGTGATCTGTGATCAGGATCTTTGATGTTACTATTGTACTTGTGCCCATATGACGGTGAACTTAATGTCGTGTGTTCTGACTGCTCCACTGAGCAGTTTTTCTCTTAGGAAAAAAGCCCAATGCAGCTTTTCCCTCTTCTCTCTCCCTCTCCGTGCCGAGACACAATACTGAAATTGAGTCACCCGTCTCCCATTTTAAATCGAAAGCTAGAAATTATTAAGCTTAGAGAGTAATGTATATCTTGCCCTAAGCAGTTAGGCAAATTGTGAATACAAAGGAGAAGTTCTTGAAGGAAATTAAAAGTGCCATTCTGGTAAACACATACATAGTGAAACAGCATTACTGTTGATACAGAGAAAGTTCGAGTGGCCTAGGTAGATCACACCAGGCACAACATTCCCTTAGGCCAAAGCCTCATCCAGAGCAAGGCCCTAACTCTCAATTCTGTGAAGGCTGAGAGGTGAGGAAGCTGCAGAAGGAAAGTCTGAAGCCAGCAGAGGTTGGTTCTGAGGTTTAAGGAAAGAAACCATGTCTGTAACACAGAAGTGCTAGGTGAAGCAGCAAGTGCTGATGGAGAAGCTAGAGCAAGTTCTCCAGAAGACCGAGCTGGGAGAGTTAATAAAAGTGTCTGCAACAGCACAACAGATTGTCAATGTAGATGAAGCAGCCTTCTATTGGAAGAAGATGCCATCTAGGACTTTTACAGCTAGAGAGGTCAGTACCTGGCTTTGGAGCTTCAGAGGACAGGCTGACTGTTTTAGGGGCTAACACAGCTGCAGACTTGAAGTTGAAGCCCCCATTCCAAAAATCCGAAGGCCCTTCAGAATGATACTAACTCTGTATGGAATTGTTCAATCACTGCATTTTACACCTGAAACTAATATAACACTGTATGTTAACTGTACTGGAATTAAAATAAAAGCTTAATAATAAAAAAGGATTATGCTAAATCTACTCTGTGCTCTACAAGTGGAACAAAGCCCGGACGACAGTACATCTGTTTACAATATGACTGACTGAATATTTTAGGCCCACTGTTGAGACCTACTGCTCAGGAAAACAAAACAAAAAACTCCTTTCAAAATGGTACTGCTGACAATGCACCTGCTCACCCAAGAGCTGGTGGAGATGGACAATGAGATGAATGTTGTTTTCACACCTGCTGACAGAGCATTCACTATGCAGCCCATGAAGCAAGGAGTCATTTCCACTTTCAAGTCTTATTATTTAAGAAGTACATTTCATAAAACTATAGCTGCCGTATATAGTGATTCCTCTGATGGATCTGGGCAAAATCAATTGAAAACCTTCTGGAAAGGATTCAACATTCTAGATGCCATTCAGAACATTCATGATTCATGGCAAGAGATCAAAATATCAACATGAACAGGAGTTTGGAAGAAGGTGACTCCCAACCCTTGTGGATGACTTCGAGGGGTTCAGGATTTCAGTGGAGGAAGTCACTGCAGATGTGGTAGAAACAGCAAGAGAACTAGAACTAGTGGAGCCTAAAGATGAGACTGACTTGCTACAATCTGATGATAAAACTTGAAATGATGAGGAGTTGCTTCTTATGGATGAGCAAAGAAAGTGAGATGAAATCAACTCCTGGTGAAAACTGTTGAAATGACAACAAAGGACTTAGAATATTATGTAAACTTAGTTGATAAAGCAGTGGCAGGGTTTCAAAGAATTGACTCCAGTTTTGAAAGAAGTTCTACTGTGGGTAAAATGCTATCAAAAGGCATTGCACAGTACAGAGAAATTATGAAAGCAAGAGTCAAATCAATGCAGCAAACTTCACTGTCTTATTTCAAGAAATGGCTACAGCCATCCCAACCTTCAGCAACCACCACCCTGATCAACATTAAGGCAAGACCCTCTACCAGCAAAAAAGTTTATAACTGGCTGAAAACTCAGATGATGGTTAGCATTGTTAGCAATAAAGTATTTTTTAATTAAGGTATGTACATTGCTTTTTTAGACATAATGCCAGTGCATACTTTAAATAGACTCTAGTAGTATAAACATGATTTTATATGCAGTGGGAAACTAAAAAGTTTGTTTGACTTGTTTTATTATAATTGCACTTTATTACAGTAGTCTGGAACTGAACCTGCAATACTTCTGAGGTATGCCTGTATATGTAACATAAAAGTTAGCACAGTTCTATGGCACTAAGTACATCCACGTAACTGTGCAGCCATCACCACCATCCGTCTCTAGAACCTTTTCATTTTCCCAAACTGAAACTCTGTACCCAATAAATACTAACTACCCATTCCATCCTCCCCTAGCTCCTGGTAACCACCGTTATACTCTCCATCTATATGAATCTGACTACTTCAGGAAACTCAGAGGAGTCGTAAAATATTTGTCCTTCTGTAACTGGCTTATTTCACTTAGCGTAATGTCCAGGGTTTGTCCATATTGTAGCATGTTGTATTTCCTTCCCTTTTAAGGCTGAATGATACTCCACTGCACGCATATACATTTTGTTTATCCATTCACCTGTCAATGGTCACTTTGGTTGCTTCCATGTTTTAGCTATTGTGAATAATGCTGCTATGAACACAGGTGCACAGATACCTCTTCAAGACCCTGCTTTTCTTTGTTTTGGGTATACACCCCAGAAGTGGAACTGTTGGACCATATGGAAACTGGAGGAATCACCAATTTTCCACAGCAGCTGTACCATTTGATATTCCCATCAGCACTGCACAAGGGCTCTAATCCAAATCCTCGCAAATGCTTGTTATTTTCTGGTATTTTGCTAATATTGATGCTAACAGATGCAAAGTAGTATCTCATGATGGCTTTGATTTACATTTCTCTAATGACTAGTGACACTGAACATCTTCTCTTGCACTTATTGGCCATCTGTATTTCTTCTTTGGAAAAATGTCTATTTAAGCCTTTCGCTCATTTTTAAATCAGGTGGTTTCTTTATTGTAGAAATTCTTCATATAACATCAATATTATATTAATTATATTACTCACTTGTCATCTATAGGTTTTGCAAATATTTTTTCCATTCTATGAGCTGCCTTTTCATTCTGTGATCATGTCCCTTGATGCACAAAAGTTTTTCACTGTGATACAGTTCATCTTATCTTTTTTTTTCTTTTGTTGTCTACGTTTTTGGTGTCACATCCAAGAAGTTGTGGCCAAATCCAACGTCATGAAGCTTTTCCCCTTTGTTTTCTTTTTATAGTTTTAGCTCTTACTTATAATAGGTCATTGATCCATTTTGAATAAACTTTTATATAGAGTATAAAGCCAGGATGCAACTCTGTTTTTTTGCATGTGAATATCGAGTTTTCCCAACACCATTTGTTGAAAAACAGGATTTCTCTTTTAAGCAGGTCAGTTAGTCAACCAGGTACCACAAAACAGCTACCATGAAGTTACTGATTTGCAAACAGTCCAATAGTTAGACTTTTTAAAAAATGATCTGTGTACAAAGGCACAAAATCACAAAGAGAAGCAGAGCACCATTTTATTTAGGATACTGCCTTCACTTCCGAGGTCCTGACAGGCTTTCATTTCTCATTTCACTTCTTCCTCTACTCCTGGAGCTTATGACAGTGAAATGAACGTTTCAATTCACTTCTAATCTGATGGGAGTTCAGCCAGAGCTGGGGGAAAAGGCAAGGCCAGCTTACCATTTATTATGATCTAAGTCTACAGATCCTGAAAAATCCCAATGCGTCTCAAATGAACTAAGGGGAGAGAGACTTTGTTTCAGTCCCGGAGATGGCAGTACCAGGAAAAGGGGGTAAAAAAAAAAAAAAAAAAGCCGAAAAAAGAAAACTCAGAAGAGAGGTAGGGACAATTGTGATGGCCAAATCTTTCTGTTCTTTTCACTTTGCCACTTGAGATACTGCAAATAAACTTAAATCTTTTCTTAACTCTTTCTTTATACCCCTCTTTTTAATCAACATATATTATGTTGTCTGTTTCAGATGCAGTATTTCTGTTTTCCCCCAATACGGTAAGCGTTTCTCCTGCTTCCGCTTCCCCAGTGCCAGGCCTACAGCACAGGCCAAGTATTTACTGAATTGCATCTGCAAGGTCACTTACACATAACAGCTTTGGTCAAAAGAAACCTAAGTTAGTTTCCACAGCAATAATCTGCCCACAAGCACAGAACTGACTTTGTCACTCACTTCATGATCCCTTAAATTTGTATCTCCTGCAAATATAACTGTAGCTGACTCTGGAGCCTCTTGCATTTTCTTTAAAACCATTTTTAACTGATTCATTCGTTCCTTAGCATGCCCTCTGGTGCTCTCCAAATGAGAAGTCATAAGGCAAAGTTCATTTCCCGACACACTTGCCTGCAACAGGATAAACAGTTATAGTTGTTAAAATTCACCAACCACTAATGCTGAAATTTGATAACAGAATCAACCGATTACAATTGATTGGTATATATTTACCAAAGCAAAACTACATAATCAGCACTGTGCTCATATCTCTAGGTCAAGGTGTAACATGATAATCCTGCTCCCAAAGAAGACTACTTAGCAAACACCCACTACTACTTCAAGACCTACCTCAGTGTCATCTCCACTGGAGTCCTTCCCCAATGTCCCCAGGCAATCAGTGGCTCCCTCCGCTATATTCCTATAGCATTTTAAAGTTCCCTTCACTGAATTACAGCATAATTATTTCTCTCCTACAAAGTCATGAGTCATTTGAAAGCAAAGATGGTTCTTTTATTTTCTGCTATTACCAAGAGCCTGGCACATAAGTACTCAAAAAAAGTCAGTTAAATGAATGAGAATCATTTACCATTTAGCAGTTAAGATACTAAAAATGCAGGATCTATTAATTATTTAAACTAACTGCCTGCAGAATCAAGTCCAGATTCTTTCACACTGGGCATTCATGACCTTCCGTAATTTGGATCCAACCTATTTTACCAACTTCTTGTCACACTACTCCTTTTCATGCCCTCTATACCCAACTGAATATAATGTTCGTTTATACTTATATACGTCCCTTCTCATATACTTTTATATATATACACACATCCTGCAATATACAATCTGCCAAAGTTTGCTCGTGGTGGTTCTGCCACCTGGACTCTTCTTAATGCCTACATCTTACGTATTTTTCAGGGCTCAATTCAAATACAAATTCCCTCATCAAACTTTCACTAAACAACCTAGCTAATCTCATCACAAAAAAAAATTTTGTGACCGTGTATGTTAACTGGACTACTGTGCTGATCATTTTGCAACATATACAAATATCCAATCATTGCATTGTACACCTGAAAGTATATACTGTTGTGCCAATTATACCTCAATTAAAACAACAACAACAACAACAATCTAGCTAAAAGTTACCTCTAAACTTCCATGGCACATCATTACACCTCCTCCAGGGGCATTTATGCCTTTCCTTTATTTTAGTTACTATATACTACAATCTCTCCCTTGCTAACCTATAAGCTCTAGGAGAGTAAGATCTTTTGATTCATTCTTGTAAGCCTCACGAGTTTAACAGAGTACCATATGCAATGCATTTAGGAAAAAAAAAAACATTTTAGGAAGCAAATGTGAACTGTTAGTAAATTCTTGAGTATTCTTAGGAAGATACCTAATGGATCAAGATTTTATGTTTACAAATTTGTATTGAAATTTGTGTAAAAACTTAATTTACAATGTTCTTTAAGACTATTTACAAGAATGTTGGAGACAAAATTTTCTCTAATGGCAATTAAAAAAAAAATAAGATACCACAATGGAACTATAAGAAACAATTCAATCTTTAAAAAAAAAAAAATCAATTTAAAAAAATTACTTACATACACACACAAAAGGTTTCTCATCATTTTTGTATTTGGAAAAGGGATAATCTCTTGGCTTTTAAATTTCACTCTCGATTTCTTCAACATTATAGCTGTGAAATATCCTTCGTCACGACCTTCAAATGTTTGTGGAAAAGAATTTAGGCTGAGAAGTCAAGAGTATTTGCAGTTTATCACAAGTTCCCCTACTGAAGGTTTTATAACAGGTACAGATACTTAAATGGATCTGAATCTTTAAAGTAAACTATTATTTCAAAATAGGTGAAGACAGCCAGCCAACTGAGTCCCTATGTTTACGCCCCCCCCAATGTAGCTGGATGTATCGAAGAAATATAAAAATAAAAAAGAATTCACATAAGTGCCAAAAATAGTTAATGCCAATATCAAGCAAGAAAATTTGAGAAATTTCTGAAAGGAAAGATGAGACTTACACTGAGCCAAACTAACATGCATTTACTTCTCACCATGCAAGCACCAGGAAAATTATAGTAAATGAATAAGAAATCTAGAAATGTATAAAATCGTAAGAAGAGAAAAGAATAGAAGTAGAGGGGCAGTGAATAAAAGCTTCCAACTGTTTTTCAGAAAACAAACTAGCTGAAGAAGTGGAAAGTGATTTACTGGAGCAGAGGGAAACCAGGAAAGGAGGAAAGGGGGAGAAGGAAGAAACAAGGGAAGGAAAGGGAGGGCTAAGGAGGACAGTAGGTGGGCTAGAAAAATGGCAGTGTGCAAGCAGGTAGGGGAGGGTGAGTGGGACAGAGGAGGAAAGGAGAGAGGGAAAGAATTTTCCAGAACTGAAGGTCACAATCCTCCAGTTGGAAAGTTCCTACACAATACAATGGAAAAAAAAAAAAGACCCAATAAAATGAGGAAGGAAACCAAGTTGGAGGAATAGCATGGTATTCAGAAAACAGAAATCTAAAACAGAAAAGAGTCAAAAAGAATCCCCAAAGAATGCAGAAAAGTTGTCCCACAAAGACAGAAGGAAAAACAGAAACAAGAGATTACCTTCTCCTTAGCAACTGAGAATTTATTATAAATCAAAATTAAAATCACATACTATGTAAAAGTGAAAGTCAAAGAAAACACGAGATTTAGCCAACTATTATGGAATGTAGCCAGTGTGTGGTACATTAAATGCATTCAGTAAAAACAAAATAGATGGAAAGTCAAAAAAACTATTCAGGGCAAAAAGCTAGGAAAAAACCCAAAATCAATTAAAAGGAATAAAAACAGACTTTTAGAAAAAGTATAACCAAAATGCACTTACCACACAAAATTTTTAATAAATTAATTTCACTAAAAAATTACTCCAGGTCTCAAAATTTTGGCTAAAAATTTACATTTTTCCTGAAAAACCATCCATTTCCAATACTTTTCACATATATTAAACTGTAAAACATATTCTCCTATGGTTTTTCTAGTATCCTGTGTCTGGCTTACTTTTCTTAAACTTTTTTTGTTTTTGCTTTTTCTGGTGTGTGCTCCTGTAGGCTAACCTTGATTTATCTCTTTCATTGACTGTTTTTCAAAGACAAAGACAATAACAGGAAAATTGTTACCTGTAATAATCTCATAACTACTTGCTCTCTTCTTTAGGTAGCTACAATACGGGGGAATAACTTCCTGTAGGAATATCACATCTGGGCTGTACCTAATTCAAAACACCAATTTAAAATAAATCCCAGGTATACTATTTCATTTGCTGATACCTAGATTAGCAAAATACCACAACATAAAAGAAACACAAAATTACTGCCCCCTAGGGCACCTAATATTCAATGTTTATACTGATATCTGATAACTATAAAATAAGATCTGTGCTATTTTACAAATAATGTAAAGATCAAATTAAGTAAGAAAAACATACATCATAACACTTTAAAATAAAAAGAACTGGAATCACGGACTACAGAAATCAGTATATGGAGAGCCTACAAGGGTCCCATACTCCATTAGATTGCCTTACAAATTATCAGTCCTCGTGGAACAGTTAACCATGATGAGGAAACTGAGCTGCAGAGAACTCCGGTGGTTCACAAGGGATTACAGAAGGTCATAGAGCCAGTGTGTAGCAGACACAGACCATTCTGATAATTTTACTTTCAGAGCAATAATTACATACAAAGTTTATTAAGTGAAACAGTACTAGAAAGCATCTAACAAAAATTAGTGTTCCCTCCCCACCTCCTCCACACTCTTGCTCTCAGAGGCAATCACTCTCCATTCTTTTACATGTTTCTTCTGAGAGCTAGATTTTGAACTCAGATCGGATTCCAAAGCTCATGATCTTGACCATTACCCTCTTTGTAGATAAGTAAGCCACGTTATCATGCTACCATTGAACCTAAGTAATAATACTTACAAAGTTAGATAGGAACACACCCCTTGAGCCCTCTCTCGCAGACTGTTTAGGTCCAATCCATCAACATTCCAGGTAATGAAAGAGAACACGCTGCCATCTTCTTGCTGATTCCCTTCAGATGTACTGGCTTTAGAACTAATGGAATCAGTTGTCTCCTCATTCGTTAGGTCAACACTGGCAAGATTACAATGAAGCACAACTCTGCAAATCATCTCTGAACTGATTAATTTTAAATTATTTTCTAACTATTTGTACTCCTCATCTTACAGATAAATAAATTTTAAAAGAACTCTGAAAGTATCTGCCTATAGAAGAGCAGAAGTCATACAACTAAGGAAAGATAGATTCTTACCGTGTTATCCAAATGTTTGCTCACTTACATAG